GCGTCTCGGCCGCGTTCGTGTTCCCACCCGGTGGCGTGTCGCGCGCCGCTGGGGACGTGCAGACTGGGACGTCATCTGTCTCAGCTTTCTCGAAGCAGACTGGAGCGGCGTAGATGGCGCCACCGACGTAAATGAGTGCCTGCAGCAGTTCATGGCGGTATGGGACTCGGTGATTGAGCGATTCTGTCCCACCAAACGAGTAGGTGCGTGAGTCCAAGCCGTACTGTCCGTGGCTGACGGAGGACCCAGAGCTGGCGGCGCTGATGGCGGAACGGAACTCGGCGCGGGACACCTGGCTGTGTCTCCGCACGTCTGAGGCCAAGGCCGACTACACGCACCTCAGGAATGCTGTGAAAAGTCGTCTCATCAGCGCCAGACGGGACTTTCTGTCGGACGTGCTGGTGCTCAGCAGCCGCCGCGAGTTCTGGCAGAAGTTCAAGAGGATGATCGCCGCCGGACGAGCTCCACCTGCTGATGCCAGACTGGAGAGCCCGACCGAGAGGGAAGCAGCGGCGGACGCGCTAAACCACCATTTCGCTTCTGTTGGGTCTCTGATAGCTAACGAGCTCAGAGACGCAGTCGCTGCCGGCCGGGAGAATCCGCGACCTCCGACCGTCTGTGCCGCGGAGTTCCGACTGCAGCCCGCCACCCTGCCCGAACTGTCGCGGTGCATTGGACAGATGAGTGCGTCTCGGGCGGTGGGACTGGATGGAGTGCCGTTATTTGCTGGCAAAAAGTGTTTTCTGTAATTGCACCACACCTTCTCCGCATTATCAATTTGTCGATGTCAACCAAAGTCTTTCCGTGCCAGTGGAAGACTGCTTGTATTTTACCCATACCGAAATCAGGTGACCCTACTGTTCCGTCAAACAATCGTCCTATCTCGTTGCTAACTGTTTTATCTAAGATTTTAGAAAAGGTCGTTTGCACTCAACTCACTGATTATCTAGAGACCAACTGCATTTTAAACCCCCGCCAGTACGCGTACCGTTCTAACCACTCGACGGAGGACGCCGTGCTCGGTGTTGTCGATCGCCTTGTCTCAAACACCGATAGTGGCCTGATCTCATCGGTAATGACTCTGGATTTGTCTAAGGCGTTCGACAGCATCGACCACGGCCTTCTCCTCAACAAGTTGTCGTGGTATGGTGTGAATGACGAGTGGTTTCGTAGCTATTTGACGGACCGTCAGCAGATTGTAAGAGGGGGCAAACGGACGCTGCCCGTGACGTGCGGCGTGACGTAGGGCTCAATAATTGGACCGATACTATTTATTTTATTTACCACTGATCTGGCAACACATTTGACTCACGGCATCCTCACTTCATACGCTGACGACACAGTCCATGTCGACTCTGGGTCCCCGGACGCGGCGGGTCTCGCCGATCTAAAAGCTAGATTAGAGCTGACAATGCGCGAACTGAACGTTCGCGTTCAAATTCCTTGAAATTGAATGAAAAGAAAACCAACTTCATCATGGTCGGGTCAAAATGCAACCTGGCTAAGTCCGCTGATTTTTGCTTTGATGTAAATCGTACCACCATAATCCGCTCTGATAAGATAAAAATTCTTGGCATTTTTCTCGACTCCGAGCTGACCTGGCACGCTCACACTGCAAGCGTGGTTCAGAGATGTAACAGAGTAGTGTCTCTGTACAAGTTCCGACACTATTTCAGTAAATCTACCTTGAAAATCATCGTTGAAGCCTATGTGTTTCCGCATATTACATATGGACTGTGCGTATGGGGCGGGGCCACCAAGAGCCAGATAAACAAAATTAAAAAAATTATAAATTTCGCGGCAAGAGTAGTCACAGGCTGCAAAAAGTATGAACACATCACACCAGCTTTGGCTCATCTGGACTGGTCAAGGATTGAGACCCTGGTGGCGCTCCGTGACGTCACTAAGGTGTACAAGGCGCTACAGATGGACGGGGCTCCCCCTGAGATCAGTGGCCTTTTCACCGCTCGCGCTGCAGTCTCCGCGAGAAACACGCGCTCCGCGGAACGCGGCTGTCTACACCTTCGTAGGTATCGCCTGGCTTCAAGCCAACGCACTTTCGCGTACAGGGCTGCTGCCGGCTGGAACCGTCTCAGCGATTCCATACGCGGCTCCGCGACCCTGAGAGGCTTCAAAACTGCTGTCCGCGAGCTGCGGTGACGATGCCGGCTCTCTGCTCCTCGGATACATTTTAATGCACTTTTATAGGTACATTTCTATTTCAATAGCATGTATCAGTATAGTTTGCGATAAAATATTGCTGGCATTTGTGGCGATGTGCCCATGTAGTGTTATATTTGTCATTGACGCGACACCTGAAAACCCACCATGTGGACGGTCTCAATACACTTACTACTACTACTACTACTACAACATGTGCTGGGACCCTCAGAGGCACACCTGAGTCGTGACCCCTAAACTGCAGGCTTGGGCTCAGCAAAATCTGTCGCCTCAAAAGCTCGGCTGAGCTATCAGAGGCCTAAGGTTCTCAGAAATATTTGAAGGTATCCTCAAAGATCCGTGTGGCCCTTCAGAGGTCTACGCATGTGTAAGGTCCTCAAAGATCCCTGTATGGGCCCTCAGAGAATATGAACACCAGTGAGACTCTCAGAGGCCGGTTTGGGCCCTCTGAAGGCTTCTTAGAGCTCAGTGGAGCTCCTTCGGAGCCTGTGTGAAAAGCAAGCAGTCATGAGCCCTGTGGCACTTGAACGGTACTTGAGTCTGTCGCAGACATTTGACGAGAGTTGAGAAAGGCCCGAAGATTCAGTGTTACGCTTTGAACGCTAATTTTGTATCAGCACTTCAAAACTTATGAAAATCAGCTATAAAATGTAATAAAGAACCAACGAGAAACGATCAGCACCCCGAAAAACCCCATAGCAGCCACGCTTTACGACTTTCTAACAGGTCCCGATTTTCCCGACTTTTGGGTCATTGACCTGACCTGGAAGGTCAACCGATGACCTAGGACATTAAAATTGGGTATAATTGGCTTCCTCTCGTCACGGGCAACACGCTTATTTTTTCCGCGAAGCTCTAGCTCGATCAGGGGTGAAACGGCAAGGGGGGTCCAACGGGCCCCCCTTATACGTTCGCGGCTGGAAAAACACCAGCCAGCGTGCAAGGTGATTGGCCGCTCTAGCAACTTCCTTAACAGTGAGACGAACTGACTGACTGACTGACTGACTGACTGACTACATGTGTGCTACTTGAGGAGAGATTGTGCTAATGTGAAATATAATTCCTTTTCAACTCGACGCACGTGTATTTAAAATATGGCGTACGGTGTCATACAGAAGGAATATTTTCATGCCTGTAAATATCTTCCATTAAAAATGTAATATCAAGAATCTAGATAAATCGATGATTGCAAAGTTAACCATTGGCTCATAAAATGACATAACAGAACTCAAAACCAATATAGGTATTATGTTGGAACTCTTAATGGGAGCCCAAATTAATAGCATACAAAGGTAAGCCCGCACTTCAGACTGCTCTGGGAGTAGTCGTAACTTCACAATACCTTCATGATCGTAACATTATCGGAAGATTGGACTTAAGATGTCCCGACGTGAATCGCACTTACGATCGTCGTACAACAAATGCCTACGACCAAAATTTTGATCGTAAGATAAATCTTAAATGTCTGCGATGTCAACGTGAATACCAAATCATCGTACGACGAAAAGCGATCGAACGATAAATCTTACGAAAAATTCCGACGTGAATACGGGCCCTGCTATGCATCATGATCATTTCTGCTCAGGTCATCACCTTGAACATAGGCCAAATTTTTCAAATGACCTTTTAAGTTTTAAGATCAACTTTTGATTCATTCGGAACGTTTCGATAAGAGGAACACGATGCTGATAAAATTAATTCCATGCAAGTTTTAAGCTAAAAGCTATCAAGTTATTTTGAAAAAAAACAATTGGTGTTCTCATAATTCCGATGTCATTTACATGCTAAGCCGTTGACTTTAGCAAAATCTGACAACATTTTTCAAAAATAGCGGTAAAAGAGGTGCTTGTTTTGTTTGGTTAGGCTCTTTCAGTCGATTTCAGAGCGGAAGGATGACAGGAATTAGGGGAGACATGGGTCTGGGCGGGAGTCCTGGACCTGGTGCTCCGCTGGGGGCCGAGCCTATCAGGTGGGTTTGATTGCCCTGACACATGGATAGCCCTGGGCGGTGTTTCACGGCCCAGCGCTGCAGCACGCTACGCTGCACTGCTGCATTGTTGCGGCGGTTGATGTGAATTCAGCTAGACGCTCCAGCGCGTCGCGAGCTTCCGAGTCTGTTGATGTTCCCATGAAATTGGAAACCAAATGCACCGCTGCGCGCAACGCACCCCATCCAAGCAAAATTTTACCATCGATGACCTCTGGTGACATGACCTCTGAGCCCATCTAAAATTTACCGAAGTGTTTCTGTTATTACTTTTGACGCTTTTACGAACACCAATTACATGCCCAAAGCTGAGTTATAAGAAGATGTTCAATCCCCTTTCCCTTCCAACAGGGCGTGAGAATCTAGGCATTCCAGTGGGGCACGGGCTAACACAGGAACTATCTCATAATTATTGTAGCCATTAACATCTACTGCCATTCTTCAACACCGGTTTCGCTGCGCTGAGCGGTGGCCGTCCCGTTTGTTGGATTCTACAGCTGGCTGGCGGAAAGCGTTAGCCGCCCGCCCACCGCCGCGGGCTGGACCGAGCGGTCCCGCTGACCCTACCTGACCTGATACCGGCGCGAAATGGGACAGGCAGACGGGGGTTCGGCTCAGCGGAGGCAGTGCCCACTGGTGGTGGCGACTTTTTTAATAGACCTACTGTACTTCGAGTCGACACTAGGATAACTCGCCACCCGGCCGACCCTTGTAGGGTCGCCAAGCGTCAAGTGCCGTCCCTCGGGCGGAACTAGACCCACGTGCTGTTTTTAATGTCGCGGAAGGAATGTTGTCTCAAATGTTCATTCAACAACACCGACCGTCAATAAAGTCAACATGGCCTCGTGGTATTTATGTTACGTATGACATGACACTCAGCATGACACGGACACTCAGCATGACAGGGACACGTGATGGTGACACAACCAATGAGCGGTAGCGCGGGAGTGGAAGAAGGGGATGCGGCCGCGGCCCACTCACATTTGGCCGCACTGTGACACTACCACAGGTATTTTGGGCTTGTTGTTGGGCCCAGTGGGCACGTTCTCGATCTTCCGCATCACCAGCAGGCCGTCAATGACGCGGCCAAACACCACGTGCTTGCCATCCAAGAAGTCGCACTTGGCGCAAGTGATGAAGAACTGGCAGCCGTTGCTGTCCCTGCCGCTGTTGGCCTGAGAAGGACAAGAGCAGGACTTGGTCACGTCAATTGAGCGAGCTCCCGATTAAAGTGACCGTCTCACCTTGATATTGAAATTGAGCTGATATACCCGAGTTATTGTGGAAATCGAGAAAATGTCGGTGGTGGTATTCAATTGGCTCCTTTTTCACCGTTTTGCGTTGTTCGATGGTCAATCATCGTAACTATTTCGGCATCAGTTTAAGAATGCATCATTGACCGGGGACGCATGAGCAGAGTAAATGCGCATTACAAAAGGATCACAATGCTGGGCGAAGAGGAAAATCCGTTCCTGCTACGCATTTACTTGAATCCGGCAGGCATTCAGACTCAGTCCTTCAGAATGACCCATCGGCGATGTTCATCACTGTTTACTCGGGTAACCGGTCCGGATTACATTAAACCATTCTGTATGTACAGTGGCCGCAAAAAATCTTGACATGGGGAAAATGCAGTGGAAATTGAATGATTGAATATGTCAGTTTGTACATCTGGTATCTCCTGTATCAGAGGTATGTATGTACCATTAGACTTATTGTCACGTGGCCAGAGAGCAGTTGCCAATTGCTTCCGAAAAACACCCGAAAGTGGTCTCTTAGAAGACTCAGCATAAAGTGGTGGGTGGTTATTGACAGGGTGTTTTCCCGAGTTGCCCTGATTTGTTTTGCCATTCGGATGAGGTAGGTAATTCGTAATAAAACGAAGAAATGGGGCGTAAGAAACTCCTGACGCAGAGAAGTCTCGGGCTTTGACCCTGTTAGAGGTAGCCATATCTGTTATTCGAGTAGCAGCCCAACTGAAAGTGTCTAGACATAAGACAGGCCTTTTCGATACCTTTTTCAGGTCATACATGGCCTGTCTAGACACTTTCAGTTCGGCTGCTACTCGAATAACAGATATGGCTACCTCTAACAGGGCCAAAGCCCGAGACTTCTCTGCGTCAGTGAGTTTCTTACGCCCCAGGTCTTCTTTTTATTACGAATTACCTACCTCGCCCGTATGGCAAAACAAACAAGGGAAACTCGGAAAAACATCCCGTCAATAACTACCCAGGGTATATAGAACAACGGGTACGCCAACGACGCGGAAAGCGCCCATTTTACCTGGACGAGTTACAGGGTAGGTGATTTTTTTGTATATGGAAAAATAGAATATTTGATTATGACGAGTAAAGTCAAATTCATAAAGCAGTTATTTTTAAATTATATGTACCAGAAATAACATACTAACCTCAGTTTAAAACATAGTCTAAAGTTAGTTGAAAGGGCATAGTTGATTAAAATTAAAACGCACACGTAAATTTGCACACGTTTCATGACGCCAAAACGAGAAATAAACTCATTTACAAGAACATTAAAACGCCTTTTGGGCGAAGAACGAGCGAGCGAGTAGTGCCCTGCACGTGCGCAAAGGCGAGAGGGTACTTCCAACGGGCTTGTGCAAAGCACCCTTCTAACCGGTCGCTAGCGGTGTGCCAAATTTGAACGCAATCGGCCCAGCCGTTCCTGAGATCTGGAAGCGGCATTCTGCACGTGCGCACGTGCAAGCGGGGTCCAAACTGACTTTTGCACGGCACCCTACTAACCGGTCCCCAACCCTGTACCAAATTTGAGCGCAATCGGCCCAGCCGTTCTTGAGATCTGGAAACGCCCCCTGCACGTGCGCACGTGCAGTAGCACCCCAACCGTAACACATGCAGATGAATTATCTGATGGAGACCTAACTGTGTACCGAGTTTCAATTCAATCGGCCCAACCGTTGTGCCGTTATTGAGGTTGCAATTTTGGGGTTCTTAAAAAATGTCCAACTTTACCACGCGCCACGTGCGGTGGTTGGCAAGAACGCATGGTGGCTATCACACCACAGAACTTTTCGTCCAAGTGACATTCAGTAAAGAAGACCGCTTGTCAATCGGATGTCCGGTTCCTAAGATATTAGCTTTTGAAAAGCGGCCGGCCGGCCGCTCATACTCAGGATTTTCCCTTAATTCAGTATGAACTCACTCGCTCGCTGCGCTCGCTCGCTCGTAATTAGATGGAAGGAATCGATGGAAGTCAGAAATGACGCAGCTGCTCCATTCTTAAAACGTGTTTGCAAGAAGGATTTACGCGACGCTAGCGACATCTATTAATGTAAGCCGGGACGCTGATATTGGCCAATTGAGTCCATGAGCTAGTGTCCCAAAAAATTTTGATTTGGGTGGGAAACGACACCCAAAGTAGAATAATTTTCCACTCTCACCTCCTGTTTTCCAGAGAAATTTTCCTCTCCCAATTTTACCAAGAAAGAGCATCTGCAATTTAGAGATTGCAATCCCGGGATCCCGGCGGGATTTTAATCCCCCATCCCGATCCCGAAATTTCGCCACTCCCGGTCCCGGGATCCCGACGGGATTTTAATCCACCATCCCGATCCCGAACTTTCGCCAATACCGGGATCCCAAAAAATCAGTTTTTCACCCAAAAAAGGAATACCTACTGCCGCTGCATGAGTCACGCTCAAACGGTGTACAATACTGCGTGACATTAAGCGGATTACCTATTTATTTGGCATCCCATCCTAGCCTTCCACAATCGACCGTGTTTGTGCTCCTCCCCCCCCCCCCCCGGGAATCACCCACAGCGGTTAAGCTACTTGAATGCGCACAAAAAAGGGTCCTCGAACGCCGAACGATCGCAGCATCAGTGCTGCAGTATCTCCATTAGGTCACGGATCGTTCAGTGATCCTGAATTGTCCGTGGCCAGAACAAAAGAGGTCAGCAAGACAGTCGTTGAGCTCGTGTCGCAGGAGGATGTACCTGGGCCCAATCTTATAAAGGTTGTGCTACAAATGCCGTACTATCATTCCACGACACTCTATTTACGGCACCTATTCACGCAATCTTATAAAGAGAATAGTATGGCAATTCTATTCACGCCATTTTGCCCCCGGTACAAATCAACGCCATCAGGAAACACGCAACGTGATTGGTCAATGTCTTGTCGCCGTCGCTATTGGAAATTATGCGTACTGTTTGCAAACAGCAAAAGTTATGTGTTTTATTTTTTATGGGTTTATTTCTTTTAGAGACACACATATGTGTAATGAATAAATTATTTATGGAAAACGTGATAGCAAACTATGGAAAACACTAACATGCTTGAAGAATTCTCCTGAAAAGTGGATTGCCGACCAAATAAATTTCAGCGTGGTCATTCTCGCGCTCAGAAAATCGAGTGAATAAGTGTTCTTCCAGGGTATATTGAATTAGGGGTAGGGTAGGACCAAGTTTAGTAGGCATGATCTCAGCAATTATCTTGTTTTATATGGCGGCTTTCATTATCACAATATTATTTTTGATATCATGAAGTTTGTATATCTCGGTTTTACGAAAAATAGACCCCGTTTCCATGGGCATCACTGATCCGGATCAGTGCCTCGTAAGGGCTTAGGCTGCCCATGGAAACACCCGTAATCCCTTACCGCTGATCCGGATTATAATCCAGTTTCGAAAGAAGCTGAGACGTTACGATAGGGATTAATGTGTGACTTTTTAATTTTCTCATTTTGATTTTAATTGTCTTAACCCTCGCCCGTGAACGGCGATCTGCCACCTTCGCCCATGCAGGGGGGGGGGGGTTGGTGCGACCCCCCCTTGGCGTTTGAAAACGGAGCGTCGTAGAGCTTAGCGGAAAAGACCAACGGATTGCTCTCGCCGAGATCTCGCGATTGGTGGTATATTTTTTGGTCCTAGGTCAACATTTGACCTACTTTTGACCGGTCAAAGGTCAAATTTTCGGAAAAAATAGACTTTTTCAACTTTCCGCGGCGATTGCGGCAAAACGGTCGGAGATATCGACTTGAAACCTTCACTATCGTGTTCCTTGATCAATTCTCTATCGTTTGGTATGTATTTCGTTTCCCTAGCTCTAAAAATGGCGGGTTGGGAGCGCCGGAAGTCGGCAAGGTCACAGTCGGCGGCAGAAATTCGAAAAATCAGAATTTAAATTTTTGAAATCTGATAGTATTTTTGGATTTGGGAGGTCCATTTGCTCCCTATAGAAGCTAATATTGCTGCATATTCCCATTGAGGTGACAAGAATTAGCAAAATAGTGGTTCGGGCGCTTTTCAAAAATAGTACCGGACGCTGTTCCTCTTGTGACGTCATAGCTCCGTGACCTGACCTGACCCGGTCAGGTTTCTTATACCATATAATAGCCAATACTTGCCCCAACATGCATGGGAAGTTTCATCACGATCCATCAACCGATGTCCGTACCATGGGCAGGAAACCTCGGGCGTTGGCACTCAGTTTGCGAAAATCCGGCCGGAGGCTGTTCCCTTTGTGACGTCATAACTCCGTGACCTGACATGACCTGGTCAAATTTTTTTTTAGCAAAAGATGCGCAAGGTTTGCTCCATAAGGTACCCAAAATTTGGCGGCGCTGCGCGCCGCCGTTTTTGCACTATTTCCGAAAAACCTCGGGGGGGGGGGGGGGTTGCACCAACCCCCCCTACATGGGCGAGGGTTAATGGGCCTGGATGCATATATCACATTAGAAATATTTTATTTAAATTGTACTTTTATTAGAATGATATGTTTCAAATTTGGGCTATATTATTTAAGATTTAAACCATTGGAGGTATTTGTTTGTGCATTTCTCCTGCACGGTGTCAAGCATTCCATTGCGCAACAGCATCCACCCATCAGTTATCTTGCTAGACCTTTTGTGCCAATATTCTAAATCTATTTGTTGGTGTTATATGGCAAATTAATTTTGCAATCTTTTCCAGCATTGTTCATTACCCGTGTGATCCCTTACAGCACAAATGCAAACTTTCTCGATGTTGCATCATTTGCCTGTCAACTATTGCCACATAAATTTAGGACCCCGGTGGTCGAATGCTGCGGTGTCGCAGCGGTATGTTTTTCGCTTTGTGAGGCAAAGGTCTCGGGTTCGAAACTCGGGGTCGCCCGAAACGTTTTCGGAAGTAATGAAAGACGAATGAATTG